GTGAAAATTAACAATGGCAATATTGTAAATGTAAATAGTGGGATATATATCTCGTCACAATTGCAAAGAGAGAGAGGTACTTATTTAACTATGTTTTCACTTTTAGTTTTATATATATTGAAGGAGGCTTAATTTCTAATGCTTCATGGGAATGATTGATGGTCTAGTAAGTCATCTCAATGATCTCGTAGTCTTCGATTATAAGATTTTTTAAAAATGGAATTTGAATTAAAAATTAGTATCAATTTGCTGAAGCGGCCGTGTTTCTTATGGGTATCGGCACCAATCATAGTGTAATGATTTTGAATGCAAAAAGTATAAGAAATTCACTTTTATGCAGACACCCACGCAGGAAAATTAAGAAGAAAAGTGACTTTATTTTTCACTAAGTCCCGTAATCTCTGCTCAAGAAATAAAGGTCGGTTCTTTTACCCTCCTTTTGACAGATTTTAGATACTCAGATATTTGAGCCGATCCATCTTTTGCATACTACTAGTATTTTAAAAGATTTGTCTTTCAATTTATTTTGGTGGGTTATTGATTATGGGCGGACTTTTTAATTAGGATCCATCATGATATTTGCCACCACGAGCATCGATTGCTATTGGTGTACTTGGATTTGTCATTAAGCACTTAACCATCAATAGGCCTTTTCCTAGCACAACGCTGTATAATTTGTTGAGATAAAATTGAATATCAATATTATATATATAGGGATAATTTGCCAAATAACTCAAAAACAAATTATAATTAGTTAAGTAGCCAAAACTGCCCTATGTGGCATAACCACAACAATTAGATTTAGGTTTTTAATTCTAATTTTTTTTTGTGTTATTTGGCAAATTGCTCCATATATATATCTTTGTACGTTGGATATTTTTTAGATCAAAATTATGAAACATGGTATGTCTTTGAGTTTTAAAAAGGGTGTTGACGTAAATTATTATATACTCACAATGTTGAAATTCTATGGATTATATTTATAAATTGATTGTAATACAACATATCAACCCTCGAGCAGAACGACCTAAATTATCTATGATCATATCAAATATTCATTTAGGGTAATTTTACCTGGTTCCCTAATTTTCAGTATCACTTGTACATACATATATGCTACGTGTTTATACCCCAATGTGCCTCATATCGGACCCCTGCCCACGCACTGATTTGTTGCTGAAAATGATATGTAATTATACACCTTTTGATTTTCCTAGCGTTCGATTATTTGTGTGCATATCCAACGCAAAATAGAGACAAACAAGATAAAATGGTTTTAATAATAAATCTGAGTGCCTACTTACAGTGTATCGCCATGCTGCACACATAGGTGTATTATGGTTAAAACTTAAAAGTGAGAAAAAAACATAAAGAAGCCAATAAATTGATTGGACATATCATTTTGAATATTTGCGACTTTTTTTTTCTCATCATAATTTCGATAAGCGTAGTCTCGCAGCCCCGACGTTGCATATTGCTAACTTCAGATAGTTATAGAGCTCACAATTTTTTTTTGTTTTTTTGAATCATGTACTATATATTATCTTCAAAGAAAGTTTCAAAAATCGTAAAATTAAATAGTTTTCGATCTTTGCCGGTTTATGTGTGATTTCAAGTTTTAAATTTCAATATAATCTTTCAGACGGAAAAAAAAAAAAAAGAGAGAGAAGAAGATGAGCAATACGGAAACGTGGGCCAAGGTTAAGCGCGGCCCAAAGCCCACTTCATCATAGGAGGAGTTGGCTAGTTTTACGAAATGTTGTGATATTCGATGAATGGGCTGTAAAGGCCCATGTTCGTCCGTTGTTCATAAATCAGCGGACGTAGAGACAAAACAACAATGCTCGACAAGACTCAGACATCAGCCCAGGCAATAGTGTCGAAGATGGAGATCGTACCATTTTCATGTGGCTGAAGTTTTGCTAGAACCAAATTCGCAGACAAGAGTTTGGCTGAAGTTCATAAATCAAGTAAAGTTTTTTAAAAAGAAAAAAAAAATGTAACAAGAGTTTCACAATTGTTAGACAAATATTTTAGCAAAAAAAAAAAACAATTGTTAGACAAATCATACAATTGAGAAAGAACATATGTCATGAAAAATGTATACAAGAACTTATTGTATGCTTCTGCCGAAATATTTATACGCTTATAATTTCCAGGAGATTATTCATGTTTAAATTACTAAGACGGGTCCGTACACACTTAAAGAAAAAAATATTAATGGAATCTGGTTGAAAACTTGATATTTGTTTCCGACGTAGTTTTCTTCTTTTCATTAACCTTTTGAACGGCTAAATTAAATAAACAACATTTTCACGGGAAAAGCTGTTGAATCACAATCAAGTATGTCGGATTCATATGAAAGAAACAAAACGTAGCGTACGATAAATTCAGTGGCTGAAAACTGCTCAATACAGTCGTTTTGTTTGTTTAAGCCAACATTGATGGTTAAGGAATCGTTCTATTAGTTTTAGTTAGAAAATGTTAATTTTCATCTGCTACGACACAGCTTTAGCTATATCAAACGTTTTAAATATGAAAATCTAATGTGTAATCACGTGTTTTGAGACCTCAAGACTTTGAGATTTGAGTCCGACTCATTTCAACTTATCAACACCAAACTCAGGACAATCTCTCATGAATCTATATGGCATCATCGAAGACATTAAGGCACTTGTCCAAACCTTTGATCACGTCTCTTTTGCTTGTATTAACCGAAAAAAGAATGTACGAGCAGATTAGTGGCAGAATCAGAATACTTTTTAACCGGGGTCAAGAAAAAAAATACTAAAAACGTATCATATAAACAATAATAAAAAAAATCTTAAATTATAATTTGATTTATACCTCTTCAAATAATACTTTAAGATTTTGTTTTGTTTGGCGATTCAAATATTCAACTATAGCAGATAAATTATAATTATGTTTGTTTTGAAATATAAATTAGGTGCAGTTTTTTTAATTAAACCTATGTAAACTATGGAAAATTACATTAAGTTTGGGTTTAAAAATTTAACGTGAACCCAAATTTAGTATGTTGAGTTTGTTCATTTCATGTGTTTAGATTCTTTTACTATTGTGTTTGGATTACGGGGTCAACCATTAAATTTGATTGGGGTCATTTATTATTAATGTTGAAAATGTATAATAGAATTTCTGAAATTAGTAGGGTCACATGACCCCCTTCCTACACAAGTGCCTCCGCCCCTGGAGTAGATAGTTTGGGTTAATATTAATGAAATTACAAGTTTCTGATT